AAGTGAGAGAAAATTCTGAATGAAATGTGCAGCTGGGATACTATAGTATTTAAGAATGGTCTAACAGAACTATGTGAAGTCAAGCAAGCTTTCTGACATATACTAAACATTATTGGCAACCACAAGAGGCCAAACCTCATGTGCTATGCTAAAAAAATCTGACTGATTTAAAGTTTATTAGATGTTTTTAATAAAAATGTGAGGTTCCTTTTCTTTGGGTTCTAACCTTTTAAGACGCACTCTCTTCATGAGTTCAAACTTCTCTGCACCTCTGAAAACTGCAGCCATTAAAAAAATTATAGCTGAGATTCTCCCAGATAGCTCTTAATAGCAGTAGCAGAGGTCTTAAAAAACACAGAGAATTCATAATAATACTGATAACTGGCTACACTGCAGTTTGGGGAGAAAAAACTCTCTGAAAATGAAAATAAATAAGTGTTTTCCCCCACACTACACAACCCTGCATGAGCTTAGTTTTATAAAGTTACATTTCAGCGGAAGAATTTCACCAAACTTAGCCATAAGAGTTTTATGACTATTAAATGCATCACCCTGCCTCTTAGAAAAGCCATAAAACAGGTCTTTGTTGAATGACCCTGACATTTTAGCTTCTGTGCAGTCATATGCCTTCCTGGGCACAAGGGCTTGTATGTGCTACTGGTAGGGCTGTGCGAAGCTTCGGGTGCCGATTCCATTTGGAGGAAATTCGGCCAATTCAGCAGCTGAGCCTCTGAATCTGAATCAAATCAGGAGGTCAATAAAATGGTCCAAATTGATTTGAAGCTCTTCGAATAGATTTGGAAAATATTCAGAGAGCTTCGGAGATTCAGGCAGTCCCTGCTTGCCACCACAGGGACCTGGACCTGGACTCCATGCTAGTAAGTAGGGGGCAGCAGGCAGGGCCTGGAAGAGGGGGGAGGGGACCATGGAGGGACCCCTGCCAGGCCCCATCCCTTGCCTGCTCCCCGAACCCCCATGAGTGCCCCCTGACCCTGCCCCAGCTCCCGGCTCTTTAAAAAACGTAAATAAATAAAAAGCCCACACTCACCAGCTGCTGCAGTGGCCTCAGGGCTTTTGGGGGCTCATACAGAGCCCCCCATGCACTGTGGGGAAGTAGATCAACCCCCTGCCTGGGAGCGGCCAGTGTGTGTATGGATTTTTTTTTTTTTTTAAAGAATCGGGAGCTGGGCTGGGCAGGGCAGCTATGTGGGGGGCTGGGAAAGCAGGCTGGGGTCAGGGGGTTCGTGGCAGAGCCCCCTATGCAGCATGGGGCAGTGGGGGACAGCAGGGATCGCCCTCCCCCCACCTGGCAGCAGCCAGTAAGTGGACGTTTTTTGTTTTTGTTTAAAGAGACGGGAGCTGGGACTGGGAGAGCAGGCAGGGGTTGGGGGCTCGTGACACAGCCCCCCACACAGCGTGGGGCAGTGGGGGACAGCGGGGATCGCCCCACTCCTCCCACCCCAACCTGGCAGCAGCCAGTGAGTAGAGGCTTCTTTTTTTTATTTAAGAGCTGGGAAGCTGGGTCCGGGCAGGGCAGCTATTGACAGGGCTGGGAGAGTGGGTGGGAGATGGGGCCTGTCCGATTTGGAGATTAGGCTGATTCAGTGGTGGCCAAATCTCTGAATCAGATTCAGCCGAATCAATTTGGAACAGTGATTCGAATCACCAAATCAAATCTCTGTCCCCTGAATCGGACGAATCTGAAGCAGATACTAGCCACTTCTCCCAGGCCTAGCTAGTAGCACCCCCTGGAGCAAGTTATTCTCAAAAGCAGGAGAGAGAAACCAAAATCACAGTTCTGCTTCTCCCACACCAGACAGCAACAACAAGCTCAACAGAGCACAGTTCTAAGGGACTCCACAGCAGGTATATCATCTTTCCATGTTAGAGAAGACAGGAACACCCAATTAATGCTAATCCTAGCTCTAGTACAAAGTCACCTCAGTGAATTTAGGCAAGTCGCTGGACCATACTTTCATTATCTATAATATGGGAACAATAACTACATACCTACCATACACTGCAATACAGTAAAGGCTCATTAAGGTTTAGAAAGTCCAACTACTATATGTACCAATTACCACTTTGTCACTTTTTATCAAAAATATAATTTCTCCTATCAGTATTTCAGCTCTTTACAAATTCCATCAAATATAACCTGAAGCTAAATTACTGTAAATATCAAAGGAACCAGATTTTGATGGAGTAAAAAAAATTGTGAGAAGCAAAATATGTATATTTCTTTCAAACTTATGATGACATTAAAATTGGCTCATTAGTAAAGTGATGGCTCAGTATTTTATTGTTAATTCTTTGATGTATGCAAACTCACAGAGCTGACTGACCTAGGAAGAGCAAAGCATTCTAAGGGTCCTTCTGCTCTGTTCTCAAGCTATAGAAAGCAAGGAGGAACATTTTTTAATGATTTGCTACAAGAAAGAGTTTAATAAGCTAAAACATGTTTCTACATATAGATATTGTAATAGTAGTTGATGTTCATCTGTTCAAACAATATTATTTCTCTCAGTAAAACAGGTCTAATACCCAGGGTTGTTTGTAAGTTATGACAAGGGAGTCTGTTCTGTGTTTGTAAAACGGAATGAGACTCTTTGAACTAGCAAAACACACAAATGTAGCCACACATGGGGTTAGCAATACCATAAACCCTGACAATGTGCAGAGGGAGTCTGGATTAGCAAAACATTCCCACAGTCAGAAAACCACACTGGTATGATTTATTAAAAGCTGAAACAGCCCTGAGATGGGAGGTAGTGTATTCCAGAGAATAATGCCACTGGAATAAAAGCCAAGAAATTTGGGCTCTAATTCTTGGCTTTGGCACTGACCTATTATATGTCCTCAAAAAATTACTTTTTTGCTCTGTGCCTTAATTTTCTCAGCAAGGATAATGATATTTACCTTTGTAAAGCATGTAGAAACTAAGAGGTAAACATTTGTAAAACCAAAGGAAAACTATTAATAATAAATCAGGACTTAAACCTGATTATCTCAATAACTTAAAGCATTGCACTGTCTAAAAATAAAACAGGGACTTTTCACCCATCCATGAAATGCAGCAGTTCTCAGTGGGGAAGGTAGTTAGGCCTAAATCTTACTCTGCCGTTAGCCATATAGGGATGCATATACACTAGCCCCGTGCTAAGCAGCTAGTATTCACTTCAGATTAGGCTATTTAGGGGACAGTGATTCAATTCTGTGATTCGAATCACTGTCCCGAATCGAATCGGCTGAATCTGATTCGGAAATTCAGCCGCTGCTGAATTGGCCGAATCTCTGAATTGGACAGCCTCCATCCCCCGCCCACTCTCCCAGCCCTATCAACAGCTGCCCCCCAGCCCCAGCTCCCCACTCATTAAAAAAAAGAAAAGAAAAGCCCCAGACTCACTGGCTCCTGCCAGGCAGGGGGAGTGATCTCCACTGCCCCCCAACTGCCCTGCTCTGGGTGGGTGACTCTGCCACGAGCTCCCAGAAGCCCCAACAGTTGCTGCAGCATCCGGTGACTGCGGAGCTTTTTTCTTGCTTTTTTATTTATTTTTTTTTTTAAGAACCAGGAGCTGGGGCCAGGTGGGGCAGACATAGGGGGGCTGGGAGAGCAGGCAGGGGATGAGGGCTCATGGCATAGCCCCCCATGCAGCGTGGGACAGTGAGGGGCATTGGGGATTGTCCCCCCCACACCTGGCAGCACCCAGTGAATGTTTTTGGGGTTTTTTTCTTTTTAAGAGCCAGAAACTGGGGCTGGGCAGGACAGCCATGGGGGGGTGGAGCCTGTGGGGGGTTCCCCCATGGTCCCCTGCCCCCATCTCCAGTCTCCCCTCCCCCACCCTCTACTTACCAGCATGAAATCCAAGTCAAGCTCCCTGCAGCAGTGAGTAGGGACTGCCAGCACCTCCGAAGCTCTCCGAATCTTTTCCAAATTGATTCAGAGAGCTTCAAATTTATTCAGACATTTTTATTGGTTTCCTGATTTGAATCAAATTTAGAGATTTGGCCACTGAATCAGGTCGAATCTCCTCCGAAGTTAGTACACGTTTACACACCCCTCAGTGCCCCTAGGTGCCCAAGACTCTTTCACTTTCTGCCCAAACTGTTTAGATTTTCAAAAGGCCTTTGATGAGGTCCCTCATAAGAAGCTACTAAAAGAACTTAGTAGTCACAAGTTGAAAGGCCTCCATTCCATTTAACCAAACAATCTGTTTGTTAACTCCTCCTCTTAGCTGCACAACTCTCTCTCACTTTGCAAGCCTCAAAAGGAGGACTAGAAATTGAATTGGATAATGCCTAATTTACAACGTGGTAGTTAAAGCATTGTGCTGCAGTTGTGTGGCCAGGTAACTGGGTAAAGTGATGGGATATTGGGATTCTGTCCTTTGCGTTAACTGCTTCTCCTTTATCCACTATCTTACTTAAATAGTCAAAGGGCACACCTACACAAGATGCTACAGTACAGTAGCAACAAGCTACTGCACAGCAGGTCGTTACTATTGCACAGTAGCATTGCCAGACACTAACTGTGCAGTGATGCCACTGCATTGTAGTAATTAACTACTGTGCAGTAGAATCGGGGGAAAAAACGTGGGGCAACAGTACTGCACAGTAACGCCAGAAGGAAGTACTAAATGATGGCACAGTAACAAAGGTGCCATAGGGACACATGTAAATGTACCCACTCACTACAAACATACGCTCCTTTAGAGAGCTCAACTATTTACTGTCTGGATCTAATGTCCACTGCTTTTTTATTACCAAATTGCTTCATTGCCTCTTTTTCTAACACCTCAAATCTATGATAGTACTTTTTATAAATTATCATAAAAAAGCAGGAGTAAGGGCTGAGTGTAGACTCTTTGCTACAACTAACATCAACTCGCTCTTGTCACTTCATAAAGCATTTGAACTACTCTAGTTTTACAGTACTGCCATCAAGTCAGTATACCAATCTTTTTTATGTTTTTAATAACAAGAATTATTATATATTTTACCTTGTGATCAATATAGCTGCATCTACTGATGACAAGTCTTCTCCCCAGCTTGTTGACATTTCTAGATGTATATCATTCTTCTTGCCAAACTCTTCATGTTGCCATTTACAGAAACTCTCCAGCATTTTTTCCCCATGATGACCAATATACATATCTGCCTGAAAATTGAAATGCATGCCATATTATCACACATCATGGTTTGTATGCATGTACAGTTCTCTAATCTTAATATGTCAGGGTATATTAAGAGTTTAAATAATCATAAAGCTGAGAACAATTTTCACCCAAAGATCAAAACTTCCTTAAAATGCCTTGTCCAGCTATCCTAATGGTTTATATAAAATTATAACAGATTTCATTATTCATTATATATTTTGAATTGACATTTACCTATACATTACTTTTCTCTGAATCTTTGTTTTCCACTCTAATATACCAATAATAACAAAAAACAAAAATTCTTCTGAAATAGTTTTCCCAATTTAAGCACACACTTTGACTGATTTTATAAAAAATGTTCTGTTTTACAATAATTCTATATTCAGGGCACAACTGTTTTAGCTTCAGGAATGCAGACTATCCTTATTTGACTTAAGGGTGAAAATTCAGCCTCAAAGGACTCTATCACCTAAGTTCTTTCATCCTGCATATGCCAATCTCCCACTGACATAAATGGGAGTTCACTGCACTTACAGAATGAAGAATATTTATGTCAAGACCCAGGTAGGAAAAATACAACCTCATTCCTTTAAATGCATATATTAGAAATCTCTCTCATATGAATGAGACCATTCTATTTTTTATTGTTTTGAATTTTAACTAAAATATGGAATGATGTCTTAGCCACTTTACAAAAATAACAATATGTCAACATAATATTGCTCTGAAATGCAACGTAAGAAGCATAGGTCACTCCAAAGAACATCATCAACTATGCCAGCTGATTCATTTCTCTTCAACAAGAGAACAGGATTTAAAAGATAAGCTTAACAATGATGTCTGAAAATATAGCAGCACTATAGTACTTAGGATATGGAGCTATTTCAACAAGAGGAACACTTCAGAAGGGCAGAAACTAATATGCTCTAATTGTTATGTGTGGACAAGCAGGGAATGACATAAGCATAGCAAAACTGCTCTAATTTTAAAACTGCTCCATCCAGGGACAAAGCCAGCCTTGGTTTTGCTTCAATCCCAACTCATCCACATGTAACAACTGGAAAATTAAACAGATGTTGCCCTTTTGAAACAACTTCAAATGTACACCTGTTATTACCATTAGTGCTTTGTTTATGGTACAAATGACACACACTACACACTAGGGCTGTGCGAACAGCCATTTCATTTCGGCACTGTTTTGACTCATTTTGAGGTCAAAACAAGAAAATCGAAATGAAACAAAGACCATCAAAAAAGCCTTGAAACAAAACGAGGCTAGTCAAAATGTTTCGAAAGTCGAAACATTTCAACCATAGCACTTGGGATGGGAAGTCAGTCCAGCTGGGCTAACTTCCCATCCCTGGTGTAAGATCCGGCACGGGGTGGGAAGGCAGCCCAGCTGGGCTGCCACATTCCACCCCCCCCGTGCTAGATCATGCCGGTGGTGGGAAGGCAGCCCAGCTGGGCTGCCTCGCCGTCCCCCGCGCTAGATTGCGTCAGTTGCTGAGGCACCAGTTCCTGAGCTGGGGGCCGGGGGGGTTCCCTGCACGCTCTGCAGTGGACCCCAAAGTAGACCAGAAGTACTTCTAGTCCACTTCCAGGTCCACTGCGGAGTGTGCAAGGGACCCCCCATGCTCCTATGGGACATGCCATCAGCCCCACCATCTCAGTATTCACAAGCCATGCCAGGTACCTTGAGGTACATAGAAAGTTGAGTCTATGGTCGAGTTGTCAAATCTCTCCGAATCGCTCCAGATGCTTCTGATTCAATTCAGAGAAATTAATGGGTCTCCTGATTCAATTCAGATTCAGAGATTCAGCTGCCAAATCAGGCCAAATCTTCTCTGAATCAAATCAGCAACTGAAGCTTCATACAGCCCTAATAAATACACAAAGAAAATAACTGACACAATTTGCCAGGGTGTACTAAGTGATTGGTTACTGCATGCCATGCTTTAGTGTGGAAGCAAACAACATAACCCTACTCTTTTATCCATTTTCAAATGTCCTTCTACATTTACTATGAGAAATGAAGTTACTTCTTACTGGAGTCTCGTGAAGCAGAACAAGCTTAGTCACCCGAAGATTCACTTGCACTCCAAGGCTCTTGTGTTGGAAAAGATTAAAAACCTAAAATGAAAAAAAAAAAAAGAAATGATTCCATTATGTAGAATATAGCTTTAAAAAGTCAAATCTCAGAATATAAGGGCACCTAATAATTCTGTAGTACTTTGATTTGAGTACCTGAATTTCCTACACAGCAGTAAAACATAAAAGCTAATATATTACCTTTCTCTTTTTTGGACAGAGAAGGGGCAAACAAGGGGTTAATACAGTGCTTTAGTCCTAGTACCCAAAAAAGAGTTCATTTTACACTTGACAATAACTATAACCCCTATTCTATACATTATAACCCCTTATACACATACATTGTGTTACACATGAGACATCCCATTGAGTTGAACAAAAGATTATGGTTGAGCTATAGCTGGGAAGAGGCAATAACATTTTATCACTTCTCAGGTTATAATAGTACTCTGTCACCAGCAACCAAGAGCATCATAGGATTCCTCTACATGAGAAGGACCACATGTCACTTTGGGCATGAGCACTCATTCTTAACAGGTCTGGTTTCTAAGAAATCAAGCTGATCAAGTGCCATTTCTTGCCTTCACTGTCAAAGGTACATAGTATCAATTACAAGTATATCAGTAATTTTATGCTGAGAGCATTCTGAGGTTCCATTACATTTCATTGACTCTACTTAAAAGTGCATCATTAAATCTAACAAGCAAATCAATCTATTATGCAAAGGCTAACATGAGTTCTAAGAATTTCCTACCATGTTTAAGATGGTTAGAATAAATCGTCTGGCAGCATCTGTTCCATGATATAGAACCATTGCTGGATCTGCAACCACTACAGTTTCTATATTGTACACTTGAGGTAATTTATAGGAATATCTTTTTCTTCTTCCGCTTTCTGATACTTTTTGATTCTTGGATTTTCTCTTCTCTGTAACATAAAAAAAATGCTGCATGAATTCATCTTTTAATGCAGCAGCATTATATAACCGCATGTCACTGATACTTCTGAATTTGCTGGAAAAATAATTTATACTACAAATGCCACTAACAATATATCTGTGAGCAGTAAGATAGGTACTAGGGCTGTGTAAAGCTTCGGTCCCTGAGTCAATTTGGTGGAGATTTGGCCCAATTCGGTGGCTGAATCTCTAAATCCGAATCAAATTAGAGGGCCCTTTAAACTCTCCGAATCAACTCAGAACCCTCCAAATCAATTCAAAGAGATTCAGACAGATTCAGCAATTCAAACAGATTTGACATTTGGACATAGACGCAGCTTTAAATGTTTTTTCTACATGCCTCTAGGTAGCAGGGGCTTGTGATGGCTGCGGTGCTGGTCCAGATGGAGCATCTCACAGAAGCATGGGGGCCTCTGGCAGCAGACCCAGAAGTGGACCAGAAGCACTTACGGGTCCACCAAGGAGCATGCGGGGGGCCCCCCCACAGCCCTCTAGCTGGGCGACTGGTGCCCCCTGGGTCTGGGGGGGCACCCAGGATCCCCCTACAGCCAATTGCCAGGCTGGGGGGGACATGGGTTCACTGCCAATTACACTGGAGAGCCCCCACACTGCTGTTGGATGCTGCATTCACCCCAACACCACAACTATCACGAGCCGCACTGCTACCTCAAGGTTTCTAGGAAAAACTTTTAAAGCTGTGCTTGAGTCCGCACCGCTGATTTGCCAAATCAGCATCAAATTGTCAGATTTGGATTCAGCCGAATTAAATCAGGGACAGTGATCTGAATCAATTAATTGAATCAGTGTCCCTGATTCGGGCCAAATCTGAATCGAGCAGGGCCCGTTTCACATACCCCTAATAGCTACACTATGTGAAGGAACGTACTTAAGTTACAATGTAATCATTATACACCCTAATAAGTACTTTCAAGGGATTACTTATGCAGCTGTGCTCAGATCAAGACCATGGACTATATCACTATTCCAAACAACTATTCAAATAGGAATCCCATTCAGCAGAAGAACCAGAACCAGGCAGATACTTTTAACCTTCTTCTCTATTCCTAATCTACACAAAAAACTGCATTTTGTCCTTGATTTTGCTAATAAAAGGAAGACTGAATGTTGCTGTATGTTAGCACAAAAGCAGACTCACTAAATTAGAAAAGAAACCCTCCTACCGTCAGAAAACACAGAATACCCTGAAGTCAACAAACCCTAGCATATAACAAGGAAACTTGGATTGATACATACTCAAATTCCAAATGAACACATAAGATCATGTTGTACATAAAAAGTAATTTATTAATAAAGATCAAGATCAGACTTTGCTTTTGAAGGAAGAGCTTAAATGATCATATACCAGAGGACTGAATCAAAGCAAACACTTTTTATAGAAAAAGTATGAAAACATTTCAAAATGAAACCTATATACACCAGTAGAATAATTCAAACAAAAGGCCCTGTGTAAATGTGTAGCATTGGGTGCTATATTTTCAACAACATTTCTGCTGAAGATGACAATTATAAACACATGTTCTGGAAACATTCAGGCATTGGGAGATTGAAAGAACATGTTTTTCAATTAATCGCCTTCATCACAAATAAGAAAATTCCTTTACTCCATTTCAATATGAGCGTGTTTTCCAAATCTGAAGAAGAATTTTTCAAGGAAGTGCTAAAACAATCTAAAGATTTAAAAGGATATAACTCAGACAGGAGAAAGTTCAGCAGGGTGAAATGGTATTGTGCCAACAAAGTACTGCATGCTTAAAAAAAAAAAACCAGGTGTGCTTCTCATTCTTAAAATACAGCAATTTGTAAAAAATACCTTTTCTCTACCTCATTTGTAGAAAGATAACTTACTAAAATAAAATAAAGAGAGTTTTCCATCTATTGACTCTTTTGTGAAATCCTATAAAATATTTTCATTTCTACCCAGGAGAACTTTTACAATCTTTTCTCCCATGCCTGATGAAGTGTATTTGTGCCCAAAAGCTTATAATTAAAATTTTTTTTGCAAAAATCTTGTTGGTCTAAATAAAAGATATCATCTCTACTACAAGTCTTGATTGTCTAAAATAAAATAAGATATATGAACTTACATACAACTGTGCACTTTTATTTTCCAGAATTATAGTGATGTTGTTGCTTTTGCCAAGGAATGTCAATATGTGACAAATGCATAAAGCATACAAGCTATATTTGCTTCAAAACCAAACTGATTTTAAAAATATAAAATAAAAATTCTAAGAGATGTAATTCTAATGTCTCTGGGCCTTGTCTTTCAAACACTTAACATACAAAGTTAACTTTATACACATGAACAGTCCCTAACTTTACACACATGACTGTTAACTGTAGAACCACAGGCTCCTTTATTTTGTCATTCTTTAAAGAATCAGTTTTTAATGAAACTTCAGTGTCAGGATGCTGGCCAAGAAACACACCCTAGAAGCTGTACAACTATGACTTACCATACAAGCATTTAATGCTGAAAAAAAGAAAGCTATGACTGTAAGTTTAAATAATAGACAAATTTGGGTTAGAAAAGACCTCTAGCGAGTCATCTAGTCCATTCCCCCACATCCTAGAAGGACTGCTGGATTCCAGCAAAGTTTACAGTAACACAATTTATCCACCATTTTATTCTTAGTTAGAAATGGCAGCTATTAGTGAGAAAAATTAATGGGACGTTAGTATTTCTGCTTAGAAAAATAAAAAAAATCTGCTGATCGTTCTATTTAGCTTTTAAGTAGCTGAATAATTTATGCTTCAAAATGAACAATTAGTGGTGTCAACAGAAAATAATAAGCTATATATCTAGTGCTGCTTCTCAATATTTTCATCATAGAGAAAGGCACTTATGCATTTTAGGACAATCCTGGTTTATGAAAAAGTATGTTGTCTTTAAGGACTGTACACCATAAGAATTTTTCTCAGCTCTGCAAAAGGACAACTTTTCAAGGGGCTTTGGACATCAGTCTCATTACAGCCTTCTGACAAGCCAGTTCCAAGCCAGCTTGCCTTTTCAAAGTTTACTGGCAGGCATCCCCATCCTTTAAAATCTCATTTATCTGAAGATTTCCATTTCTACAAGATCTTCAAATAACTAGGGTTATAACGTGTTGCCTTAACTGGCATTAAAAAGATTGGATTTCAATTATTATTGCCAAATAATCTGGTAATGCCTAAAAAGATGTGTACAGCTCTTTATACTGTTATAAGCAGGTAAACATGTAAAGAAATAAAGGGATAGGATAAAATACCTCTATGCAAAAGTATTTATTTATATTGTACATGAGTTGTTGATATAGAAATTAGGTCATGCAAATAAACGGCTCACGAAGATTTACATTATATCTATACAAATCCAGTGCAATCAACTCCCTTTAGTTGGCAATGGAATAAAGAACACAGTGAAACCTACCAATGGGTACTCTACAACACAGCCTTTGAATCCTTTTCTATAGCTACAGAAAATGTAAAAAGAACAATAAGTTGTTCAGAATCACCCCATTAGTGACTGTAACCAAGCACTGCAACCCTCAGATTATTCAGCGCTCCTTATTCCCTGACTTGTGCCAGTTTCTCACCAGCACCATTTGAGGAGGCATTGCAAGTTTGTGTTCTCAAGTTCTTACTCCATCCCACTTTTTTTCCCGTGAGGTCAAAAGTCTACATTCTCTCATAAGAGGAACTATGTAACTAATTTGTTGGCCTCTTAAGCTGTGCTTCTGTGGTGTTTACATTCCAATTAATAGAGTCTCTCTTTATTTTCTAGTCTATGGGTGCATCTACATGTGCTATTAGTGCTCATGAGTAAACTCTGGAGTTTAGTGCTCCGTCTGCATGTGAGCCCAAGAGCACAGCATGTTGAGCTGGGTCAGAGCAGACCTGGCTGGCAGGGGACGCTGCCGATGTGCTCCCCCCAGCTCAACATGCTGCACAGTGGCCGGCTGGGGGCATAAGGGCAATCCAACGTGGGGCTAGCCAGCAGGCAGTCCCCACATTGAAACACCCTTCTGCCCTAGCCAGCTAGAGCATTGTCTACACAGGTGTTACTACAGAGTGAAAAACTCCACAGCAGGATAGTACTTGTGTTTGCAAGTATTATCCTGCTGCAGAGTTAATTAAACTACTCCAGCCTAATAAGGTGTACATGTAGATGTACAATGTTTACTGCCCACAGTTAATTAGTGCTTTCTGTCAAATGAACTTTGCATAGAACTTGTTATCTTGACTTATTTGGGCAAGTATTATTAGGCACATAAACTATTAAGTTACCTAATGAATATGAGCCCAATTTCTAAAAGGACTTGGGTCCCTAGAAGTAAGGTATTTCTGCACCTTTTACATCCCTGACCCTGCAGTAAAACCCAAACTTTGAGTTAGGTGCCTCAGACTCCTACATAGTGCACAGAGTAACTTCAGCACTTCAGAAAGGAATACTTGCAAACACAAGTCCAAAACAGCCAGCATACTTAGCAGGAACTATTTACGGTCCGCACACTCAGGTGTAGCTACTTAAAGCTAGCCAATGAAAACACTGAAAAGAAGACCATGTCTGAAATCTGGAACCCTGCACTGAGGATCCACAGCCTAGAACCTTACATGAAAGGAAGATGCCTACAACCATTCTTTCAAAAGTTGAGGAGTCATTCATGCCAGTATCAACACCCTGTTTTATGCAACAGTCTACTGGTTAAGCTAGAGCAGTCATGCAAGATGCGAGAGAACCAGACTCTTTGTCTGAAGGAATCAAACCCATATCTCTCACTTTGCTATAAAGTGCTCCAACCTCTGGTCTATGAACTGTTTTGGGATGAAGGTATTCTCCCTACCTCCTGTTAAACTGTGCCAGTCTTTAAAAAAGTAACTTGATATTCTTTAGGACAAAAAGAGAAAGCAAAAAGGAGCAGGACCCTCTCTAGATCAGTGGTCAAAGCTTTTATCTAGGAGAGTTCCAAAAGTCCAGTCCTGGCTCCTCCACCTATTTATACATTTTAGCCTATAACTGCTTCATGTAGACTGCATCAAGAAGCCTTAGAGAAATATCTTATCCTCCCAGCTCAATACCATAACCACTTGGCTATATTCATTTTCCCTCATGAACATGCTGGTTAGAGCTGTAGTTTGGGAAGTGGAAGACAGTCATAAACACTGTGTTCATTAAGTACATCAGAGACCAACCAGATGACACATGGAGACAAGAAACAGACTATAAATGTTGGATCAAAGTGAAAGATGGCCCATAGACTTCTTTAAAATCTAATGGTTCACTTGATGTGCAACATTCATACAAAAAATGAATGCACAGTTCCACTTAGAGCCAGAAGTCCATCATGCCACTTAAAATCCAGTTATTGCTAGAAAAATAATCAGATAGGTCATTAGGAAAAAGTATTACCTGGGGAGTGGGGTTTAAATATGCCCAATACATTAAATCTGTTTAATGAGACCATCATATTACCTGTAACAACACCACAGTAATGAGTGTGAGAAACTGGATTTTCAGCAACTTTCTCCTCTATAGACCTTTTCCTTCTGTACACCCTGTGTGCATAACCTGTCACAGCCAAAGTGCGATTGAGCGGCTCAATAAATATGAAGTCCTCGTTAATTTGTATGAACCCCATCTGGAAAGAAAAAGAAAGGGAATATGTAAGGGAAGTACTTTAAAGAAACTATAGAAGTGCACACACACCTCCCACAAAAGGAAAAAAACAAAAGAAACTTAAACTTATTTTAAAATGTATTTTATTTTAGTAACCCTACTAGCCAGGTGACCATCCTTCAGTTTTATTACTCACTGTACTGCAGTGCACTAGAATAAAATTCAGTTAATTCAACAAGATCTGTGTGGGTGGGTGGCTAGATGCCAGTAGCAGATGCATAATATGGATCTGGACTGTTAAAGGCTTGTTTTGGGGGACCCATGGGATCATTAAATATGTACAGCATGTACAGCAAAATCTATATACTAGCTTTATAATACACAATGTTGTCATACTTTTTGCTAAGTAGTTTTACTAAAACAGTACATGTTTTAAGATTAATTTAGAAAATGAGACTATTTAGCAACTGTGTATAGCTCCAACAAAACTGAAATGCTTGTGAAGCCCCAGCATTGATTGGTTAATTGCTAAAAATGTCTTTCCTTTGAAAATAAGTTGTGCAGGGTTAAAAGAGTCAAAGCTGATGTTTACATCAGGTGTAGGTTTGATTTATGAGAATATAGTTAAGCTCACAAAACTACTGAAAAACTTGCTCCTAGAACTAATATGTATGGTGATCCAACTGAGATCTCCTAAGACAGCCAACAAATACAAAGTCTATAGAGAAGGAAGTTATTTTTTCTACAAAATACCATGAACAAAACTGTCAGCTGACTTCTAATTCCAGAAATTTGAAAAGCCATTAAATACTACATCTTATAGGAAAACAAAATGACACATCTGGCTCAAATAAGTAGAGTTCTTCTCCATGCATGCATTTAATTCCCATTTATACAGAAATAGAAAAAATCTGCCTCTGCTGAAATTAATGGGATGCTGTTCCTGATCGGGGTTCTTGTATGACATAACTTCACAAAACATTTATTGATAAATCTTCAGAAACAAACCTTGATCCAGCTGAGAACATGAAATTAAATTGCATGTGTGGTACAAATTATGCATTTCCTCAAACATATACATGTGCATTACAGCCCTTCTTACAGGCAACTTCAATATTGTATATAGTTAGTTTATTTCTCAGTCTGGTATGTTGGCTGCACCTCAACCTCTCTCAAAATTTTCTGATGGGAAATGCTGAAAAGAGTTACCATCAGTAACTCCATTACTACAACCATTAGTAGTGTGGAATATTTCTAATAGCCAGATTTGATTAGCTGGTTTTTTCCTGTGCTTATTTTTCAGGCAATTTTATAAGAAACAGAAGTCTTAAATATCAAACACTTAGAAGCTAAGCTAAATTATTTAATATGCTTTCATTACAACAATGAAATAGTGTTGCCACATAGCCAGCATACTTTACTGTTATCACTAACTAGTCTGCTTGTATTGAGAACATTGGTTTGTTTAAACAACAGGTAGAATATAAGTAAATCTGACTAATTTTCTCCTGGTTTTTGTAGGTGGTTTTGAGCTTCATTCAGATACCGATTTTTGGACCATTTCTTTTTAATTGGGTGTCTTTAAAAAGAAGTTGAACTGATATCTTGGGAAACAGGAGCTTTTTAGTCTCAGAACAGGTATTTCACAAGCAGCAATTGTGCAAGGTTCATCATAATATGTCGCTAGTGTTCATTATCCCTGACCTTGAGAAAATATCTTCAAAAATATTAAATCATTTCATTCTCAGTGCTCATTCAGTCCCTGACATCTTTGCTAAGAATAATAGAAAGGACAATTTAAGGGTCTGTTTTCTTAGATTGCTACCCACAGACTCAGCAGCTGGACTGAGACTGTCAATATATTCCATGTTGGCTTTTGAACCCCACTGCTTTGTTGTGGGGCTCCAACAACTGCTCCTAATGCCTGGAGTTATTCCAGGAGAAACGGGAAAATTGAACATAAAAATTTAGCAAAGACCATTAGTATCAGCCATATTTATTCAACTACTGTAGATCCATTTCAGACAAATTTGGATAGCAGCAAGACTGTATCAGACCTTCAGTCAGTATGGATTGCAAAACACATATATGTCACACAAATACATTTCAGGGGGAAGAGGAGCAATATGATTAAGATATAAGAGCCAAAAAACATCCATTATTATTAAGTACCTAAGATCTGACTCAGCTGCCAGTGAAACTATAGAAAGACCCCATTGATTTTAACAGCCATAGGAGGTCACTAGATAGATGCACTCTTTATTCATTGATTCATAGATGTTTGGGTCGAAAGGAACCTTAGAAGATCATCAAGTCCGATCCCCTTCTCCGGGCAGGAAAAAGCGCTGGGGTCAGATGACTCCAGCCAGGTGCATGTCTAGCCTCCTCTCAAAGACCCCCAAGGTAGGGGAAAGCACCACCTCCTTTGGAAGCCCGACTACCTCCCTTGGAAGCTTTGGGGCACTTCTCTTTATATGGACAGGTAACGCATTTGAAAATGACTATTTGTTACGCATGGGGATTCCTGCAGTTTCCAACATCTTATTTAAAGTATATTTTAAAGGTAACATATATATGTAGCAAACACATCGGTGAAGATTATGTGTAGGATAAACATGCTTGGGCTAAACTGGCACTCCCACCTGGTCTGCCAGGTGAGGAGGGTTTACAGAGACCCAGCAGGACTAAAAACAAAACCTGTCAAAGAGCAGGTGAGCTCACAAAAGCCAACAGCCATCCATACCTGGAGAAGAGACTGACACCACTGGGTTATTTTTGCCCAAAGAATTGCCAATGACACAAAAGCAGTCAGCTAACCTCACACCACATCAGTCAAGGCCCAGGTTAACAACAACCATGTCTTTCACTGATGCTCAGCAGGATAAAGTCAAAACGGGACCACCAAATATCAAAGACTGGATGGGATTAAAATTGACTGATTGTACAAGGATTGCAAAAGACTGGGAAGAATGGAGGAAAGTTAGAGCCCTAATGATATACAGCTAAAAACATTAGATTCTATCCCCTCCTTGTTCCTTTGAGGGTGAAAAAAACCCCCCCTCACATCTTTAAAGACAAGAAAGAAAATTAAGGGTAAGAAAAAAAACAAATACCTACAAGGACACACTACATCCAGAAAGAAGCAAGGAAGGAGAAAAGGAAGAATTATCCCATTCTAGGACTAAAGATAAATAAAGGCAGAGACAAAATTAGCCTACAAATGTCACAGGCTAATATAGCACAATTTCCCAATATTTAATTATATAATGCTTAGATTGTAAAGATTCTCTGATAAAACAGTGAAGCTTCCTTATAAAGAATATAGGTATGTCATGATGCAGACATCATGATGAAATTTCATACTATCTTGCCTTGTTTGTGATGTGGGTCCCTGTAATGCCGCTTAATGAGGAAATCGTTCCCCAGCTCCTAAAAAATGACTGTCACTGGGCACATCTACATGAGACATTTACTGCAAAGCTGCCTAATTAATTTCACAGTAGTCTCAGTGTCTACATGTGTGGTGCTATTAGGCCACAGGAAACTAATTAATTTTGCCGGATGTTAATATTTGTTCTTTAGTGCACAGCAGCACACATGTAGATGCTGACGGGGCTAGCTAGGACATGAGGCTGGTTCAGTGCAGGGGCTGCCTGCTGGCTAACCCCACACTGGAGTACTCTTGTGCCCCAGGCAGGCACTCCACAGCATTTTGAGACATTCTGGAGTTGCCCCAGGCTGGCAGGCTGACCTCCCTGGGCCCCCCTGGCGGCCAGGGTTGCTCTGGCACAACTCAACATGCTGCAGTCCTAGGTGCACATGTAAACATGGCACCCAGTAGCAAAAAACTTTGGCACAAACTGTGCCGGAGTTTATTGGGCTGCATTAATAGTACATGTAGATACAATTTAGTTTGTGTTGACTGTGGTATCTACAACCTGATAGCTTAAAATACCAAAGCAGAATGGAATTGAGCACTAGTTCAAGTCACTAAATACATCTTTTGTTTTTTTTTAAAAATCTATAAAATAAACAAAACATCTTTTCTTGGCATTTACATTTCAAGAACTTTAAAATAATATAACTCAAGCATATTGCTCATACAGAAGATGCATGTATGCACACATATGAAATAGAACTAAATGTTTTGCAAATGGTCATTGCTGCCATCTGCATTCTTATGTGTAGGTTCATCTATTACTCTGCCATGAATAACGGTAGAATTCATACTCCTAAAATTGCCGTTGTTCATCTGAAAATAACTGTTATTCTGTCAAACAATCTTCCTCCTCTGTCCCTCAGTAGCTGCTTTCTGCTATTCTCCATTTGCTGTTATGTATGTTCCACAAACAACGAAACAAGGGCCACTAATAGGCATTCATTTAAAGATATGATGGGATCTGATCCCCATCCCAATAATCGCACTTCTTTCCTTGCCATATGTGCATGACAGGATGTGCAATTTTGGGATTGAGGATCAGATCCAAATTGTGCCCTACTTGCCAATGAGGTGGCACCCCAGGATCACAGTCATGATCCCAGGCTCCCTCTGCCCTGGCAAGTTGAAAACCAGGTGCCTGACAACCAGCTGATTGTCAACTGGCTCTGGGACCACAATGGGGCTCCAACCAACCTTAGTGTACTCCCTGGAGCCAGCCAATCAGCTGATTGTCAGCCAGATCAAGACCTCACTAGGGCTCCAACTGGCCACAGTGTGGCCTCCAGTTCCAACTGACAATCAGCTCTTGCAGTGCTCCAGGCACTACACTAGGGTCAGTTTGAGCCTCGGTGTGGTCCTGATCCAGCTGATTATCAGCTGACAGACACCATACCAGGCTAGTTCAAGCCCCTGGGCAGTCCCACAGGCAGCTGGTTGTTGGTCAGTAGGGACTGCACTGGGGCTAGGTGGAGATAATTACAGAGACCATAACCAGGCCATGTGGTCCTAGCATGTTCCTAACATGTTCCACATGTTCTATTTAAAGTGAGATGAAAACCAGTCACAAAGATATTGCACATTTT